GACCAGAATTTGAGAAGTGGGCACAAATGGAAAGGACAGGCAGGATCCAAATAGTGATTATGTCCCTGCAGGAGCCATCACTGCCATCTCTGTGTTTCCAAACTCCGCGAAGTACCGATTTGAATGTGCATCACTCATCACTTGTGTAACTGTGGTTAACTAGAGCTTTGCCAAATTCTTACCTAAATTTTTGGAATGAGCTAGAAGCTACTGTTTGTCCAGAAGCACCCCCAAACAGGTACCTCGTGTAGGAACCCAAATATGCTAAGGTAGTGAAAGCAGGGGGGTCCTGAAAATATTACAGCCACAATAGCAGTCTGATTGACTCAGCAACCTCCTGACCAATATATTGAGCTAATTGTTAACACTTTTTTGATGAAGAATGTGACTGTATTAGCTGTGGAGTTTACTTGCTAATGGGAACCTGCACAGATTGGATTCTCATTAGAGTTAGTAGTTACTAGTGGTTTTGACAAAAGCAAAGCCGGTTTTGTTGTGTTCATGCTTTAACATGTTACATTAAAATTTTATGGTTAGACTTGATGATCTTCAAGGTCCTTTCAAACCAGGATGATTCTATGATTCTATATTAGTGCTGCATCGTGCCTGTGTAGTTCAGCACTGGATCATCATAGTTGTAGGTAAGATCTCTTGTACTCTTATCCAGAAAATTCAAAGTGGCCTCCTGCTACAGAGCAATGCTGGCAAGTAGATATAGTATGGTGCTTGGAAAGCTTTGGGTCACATTGTGGTAGTTTTGGAGGTTGTGTTTTTTGCTTGTTTTGTGTTCGGTTTTTTTTTTTTAATTTATCTTTAAAGTTTTTCTGAAACTGTGAGTGTAAATTCACGTGCACAAGGTAATTCCTACTCTGGTAGAGAGTGCCTGTTTTTTTGCAGGCTGAGTTGTCTGGGAAGCAGTTCACACTAAAGTGAAAAGAGTAATTTTAAAATAAGGTTTTCATATGCTGGATTTACTCATTTATCTTCTAATCTGCTGTGAATTATGTTTCAGTCTCAGTTACCCTAAACTGTGCTGGCTCCACTCCCTTCCCTTCTCTTCCCCCCTCGCCCTACCACTCCTGCAAGTGATGTGTCAGATCTTGGAACTGCTCCAGCTGAATATTATCCAAAATTTGTTGTTGTTCTTGTTATGATCAGTTTTCTGACCTGAGTGATGAGATAGGAACACAACAGGAGACAAAGACAAGCCTATTTGCTTGTCTTCATTACCTTTTACAGGCACATCTCGTCTTCCATTGCACTCCATCAGGATTTATGGACCAGTGGTAGGACATTTCTCATAATACAGGGGAGCTTGGGGTTGATGAAGATCATTAGAATTACAAATTTAAAAGTTTTTAATATATATTTTTTTTTTTTTTTTGGTGGTGGTGTTGCAGTAGGTGTCTAGAAATGTCAATACTCTAATGCTTAGGCATGACAAAACTTTTAGGAAGTTATTTTTCATTATTTTCTGCTATAAGTGTCAGAGTTTTTCTGGTGCATGTGCATGAGGAAATATGGGTTTGCCATTCCTACACATGGAATAGAAAAAACAGATAGTATTTGGTGTCACCCTAAGAACAAGGACACTTTTGTGTCTCTAGACATGACAGGTCACAGCCCAAATGAATGTGGGAGAAGAGACAGTCTTGTATGGGCAGTTGCATCTGATGCAGTTTGTGGGGGAATATCTGAACCTTTCACAGTATTGCTCTGCCTGTCTCTTTTAAGTGGATGGGAGTGTCAGTCACATTTTGAGCAATGTTCATTGTGGTTCCTTGTTGCCTGAGGTAGAGATGCTGCCTTGATCAATGGAGTAGTGCTAGAATAGCTTGGCAGGAGATGGGGTATTTGTATGTATGTGTTTGAAAAAATTAATCTTTAAGATGAAAACATTTTAAACCAGCATGCTTTCTTAGGTCTGGCAAACCAACAAAACCCAAGCGAGTCCACATTTACTTAACAGGGTCAGCACAACAATTTTTAGAATAAGGGATATTTGCAAAAAGTCTATGTAGCCTTTTGCAATGAAAAACAAAACCAGAAACAAAACAGCCCAGCCAACCTTACTAGTTGCTTATGTTTAAATGAAGAAAAATACTCTACTATATGACACATTTTAGAAATTATACTTCAGAAGAGATTGAATTTCAAAACACAGGTTTTGCAAAATACATTTTCCCATTCAGCATTGCTCCTTTTCTTTTCTTTTCTTCCACCTCCAACTCCTTTTCCATTTTATGGAGAAGATAGCTGCTTCTTTCTCCTCTGTCATCCTGGGCACTGCTGTTGAGGTTACAGTTGCACAGGTTTTCCAGCAGTCAACTTGCTTTCTGCAGATGAGAAGAGGGCAAGCGAGGAGAGCAGTGTATAGTGCTGAGATGCCACAGAGTCTGTGGCTGATGAATGCTGACAGGCTGCACATGTGTGGAGGATGAGTGTTGGAGATGTCTTGGCCAAGATGGGTAGATTTCATGGCAGTGACGGTATGTTCAGAGCAACTTCCTTCAGCAACCACTTCCTTGAGAAATTTCAAATACTCGTTCTAAAAGATAGAGGGAGCTAGGACAGAGGGTGTTTTTCCAAAATGCAGTTCCCAAGACAAATAACCTCTAAAAAGGAATCAGTCTTAGCTGCCAAGCAAAACTACACTCTGAGAAAGAAGAACTGTGTCTGCAGTAGAGGATATTTTCTTTTTTTAACCTTGGCAAAGTGTTAATTTCACAGGTTGTGAGTGGCACATTAGAGGCAGGTAGACTATCAGATTTTTTTGACAATACAGGGGGAGCCTTTTTTTTTTTTTAGTAAGAAAAGTGGCTTACAAGGTAGGAAGTGTGCATGTGATTGAAAAAAACAACAACACAAACACAGAAGATGCCACCACTTCACTGTGGCTAGAAGAGTTTCCAGTGGTTCCATGTTTTTTTCTCAAGAGCCAAGTTTTGTAGGATATGTGCTGCTGTCGAATGTGTACTGCTAATTGCTCTTCAAAGTGATCAGTATTTCACTGGAAAATTCATAAGGAAAAAGGGTAGCATTAAAAGTTTCTCTGTCTTTTCAGTCTAATTTGTACATACTTTCCCAAATCTTTTCTGGTGGCAATTTTTTTTTAGTAAATTAACAACTCTCTGGGTTGTAGTTAACCAGAAGAATTAGGGTTGAAAGTCCGTGGTTTAAATTCTTCCCAAATTTTAAGTAATAATTTCTAATGGATTTCACTGTGTGTTGGTGATCAAAAATGGATGAGTTAAAAATACTAGGAGGAAGATTGCCCAGCCATTCTATTGCTGAGGTTACCTCACAAGATCCTTGGGAGATATACCATCTCCATGTTCTGCCTGTATGGAGACTGGCTTAAAAAACAGCACATGACTCTCCAAAATATTTTGGTTTTAAAATGTTTTATTTGGATTAATTAGATTTATTGTCCATGTTATTCATAGCTATTTTTAAAAGGGTTTAAGCATGTCTTCTATGCACGTGTGTTAAAATTAAATTGGTGTTAGTGTATTTTTACTGTTGTAACAGGAAAAGCATTCTGACTTTTTTTTAAATGAGCAATCATATGTATAATCAACTTGGTTACAACTTCCTTCCTGGTAAGTGCAGCACTTCCTTTGCATCTGGATATGAGGGTGAGCAAGAAAAGCAGAACAGCTTAAACAAAGAAATTTTTGGTGTGAGTGATCTTCCTTTAAAAAAAATAGGAACTTCAGAAATTAAACAAATGACTCGTCTTCAGCATTTCAGCCTTTATTTTCTAAGCAGGTAATATTTCCTTGTGCCTTGTTGATTTTAGAAGTGGTGTCTCCTGCTTTCCAGAACTCTCAAGAAGAATTTCAGTTAGCATGCTGTGTTGTTTCAGTTTAATCTGTTATATTTTTATCTTCTTGTTTTGTTAGCTGTGAAGGTATCCTTATGTTTGTTTTAGTTTTTCCAGCAGTTAAAGAAAGACTGTCTGTCTAAAAAAGCCCTGGAAAAGCCGTTCAGTGTGTTGCTGTAACTTAGCTCGTGCGAGCGCGCTCAGTCGGCACTGCCTTCCTCTTCCAAGCGCTCGGTGAAGTTTCCACTTTAATATTGTTCAGTGGAGATTAACTGTCAGCAGCAGTATTTTTTCCTTGCTGAAAGCTGATAAGGTAGGCTACTCATGTTCAAGATTGTTTTACAGGTGTTCTAGGTGTGGTTTGCTGGACAGGGTAGTAAGTTCGCATCAGCTTTGGAGTTTTTTCCTCAGTAACAAATTAGTACTTTGTTGCAGGAGTGTTTACTTTTTAAATGGATGGATTTTCTCAGTTTGGTGAATTTATTTATTTAAAAGAAGTTAAGGATACTAGGTGTGAATTTAGATGCACCTTCAATATCTGTCTTCTGAAGTAGTCCCTGACTTTTTAATTCTAAGGATATTTTTCTTTTCTGTTGTTCCTCATCACTGAAGTGAGAGACAGAGGAGAATGGGAATAGGCTTGTCTCTGTCCAGTCTGTAAATACATTTCTTGTTTTGTTAATTTATCATTCCTGGAGCTCAGTGGGACCATGTTGTACTCAGACACGGCAGTGTGTCTTTTGATTTCTGTGAAAACCTACTTATGTTAATATCAGCAGCATCAAAACAGATGAGGCAGCAGAGAATCAGTGCTTGATCAAACAGGAGCAGTAACAAATCAGTAGGGAGGAAATTTATAGTCAGATTGCATATCCTCAGTGAAATCTGGGAAGGCTGTTTAAAAGCTCTCTTTTCATTATTTAGTCATTGGAGGGTTGTGGACTTTTTTTTTAATATTTGGTATTGAATAGAATAGATTAAATCTGAGGTGGTTTATGTAAATCAAATATTTATCAGAAGAAATTAAAGGAATGGGGGAGCAGAAAAGGCATATGCATAGCAAGATTCTGACTGACCTGTGATTTTAATTAAGAAGAGTTAAAAATAAGATTAAAGATAAATGTAAATGAGAAAGTAATCCAGTATTTCTATGTTTTGCTAGATTTCTTTTGGCATGGAGTTGGGGGATTATGAACAGCCCGTTGTTATGAGAGAGGAGAACAAACGAAGGAGAAGAAGAATGAAACCTCATTGTACATCGAGTAATTTGTCGTCAATGGAACTGATACCTATTGAGGTCATTTTACCTACAAGCAATAAACATACTGAAGTACCAGAAATGATGTTACTTGAAATAGCTGGCAACTGTACTGTTGAGCAAATGAAAGCACAGATTTGGATGCGTGCAATAGAGATGAGTCAAACCACAGACTTCTACCACACATTCACCCCAGATCAATTCATTCTGCAGTATCAAAAGAAAGGGCAATGGTATGAAATTTATGATAAACATCAAGTAATACAGACATTGGACTGCATACTCTACTGGAAAGTTTTACAGAAAAAGGTAGGCAAGATCTATGTTGTCCAGAAACAAAAGCCATCAGAAGAAGTTCAGGAGTTTCAGCGGCAACTGAATGATTTAATTGGTTATGACGTCACTGATATAAGCAATGTGCATGATGATGAACTAGAATTTACCCGTCGCAGATTGGTCACTCCACGAATGATAGAGGTAGCCTGTAGAGATCCTAAATTGTATGCAATGCACCCATGGACTACATCTAAGCCACTCCCAGAATATTTATTTAAAAAGATCACTAATAATAACATTTTCATAATCATTCATAGAGGAACAACTAGCCAAAAAATTAAAGTGTCAATAGATGACACTCCAGATATGATTCTCCACAGCTTTTTCACCAAAATGGCAAAAAAAAAGTCTTTGATGGACATTCCTGAAGATCATAGTGAACTGGATTTTGTTCTCAGGGTGTGTGGCAGAGATGAGTACATTACTGGAGAGACACCAATCAAAGATTTTCACTGGATAAGACAGTGCCTTAAGAATGGGGAAGAAATCCACCTTGTCTTAGACAATCCCCCTGACCCAAATGAGGATGAGGTTCAGAAGGAAGAGTGGCCATTGGTGGATGACTGTACAGGGGTCACAGGGTATCATGAACAATTGACAATAGATGGAAAAGATCATGAGAGAGTCTTCACTATCTCTTTGTGGGACTGTAGTAGGAAGTTTAGAGTGAAAATAATTGGCATCGATATACCAGTTTTACCAAGAAATACTGATCTTACTGTGTTTGTGGAGGCTAACATTCAACATGGGCAGCAGCTGCTTTCACAGAGGAGGACATCATCAAAGCCTTTTACTGAGGAGGTTCTGTGGAATATTTGGTTGGAGTTTGATATCAGAATCAAGGATTTGCCTAAAGGAGCACTCCTGAATCTTCAGATATACTGTGGCAAAGCACAGGGATTATCCACAAAGACCAACCTTCAGTCACACGACTCCCCAAACACTGATTCAAAATGCAAAATTCAGCTTCTCTATTATGTAAATCTCTTGTTGATAGATCACCGTTTCTTGCTACGAACTGGGGAATATGTGCTCCACATGTGGAAAATTCCAGGCAAGGGGGAAGAACAAGGAAGTATCAATGCAGACAAACTCACATCAGCAACTAACCCCGATAAAGAAAACTCAATGGCTATCTCTATTGTTCTGGACAAGTACTGTCACCCAATTGCCTTGCCCAAGCACAGGATAACATCAGACCCCCAAGGGGATAGGACACGAGCTGAAATGCCCAACCAGCTTCGCAAGCAACTTGAAGAAATCATAGCAACTGATCCACTTAATCCACTTTCTCCTGAGGACAAAGAACTGTTGTGGCACTTTAGATATGAAAGCATAAAGCACCCAAAGGCATATCCTAAGCTGCTTAGCTCTGTGAAATGGGGACAACAAGAAATAGTGGCCAAAACATACCAGTTGCTAGCTAAAAAGGAAGTTTGGGATCAAAGCACTTTAGATGTTGGACTCACAATGCAACTTCTGGACTGTAACTTTTCAGATGAAAATGTCCGAGCGATGGCAGTTCAAAAACTGGAAAGTTTAGAAGATGATGATGTGCTTCATTATCTTTTACAGCTTGTGCAGGTAAGGTGTATTTGCATTCTGGAACTCTACCTTCTGGGAATATTTGCATTACCCCATCATCATTGCCATCTTAGTAGGTCTAGTTTGTAATCCCTGGTTTTGAAGCCTTCAGCATTTAGGAAAAGCAGTGGTAGTAGCCACATTAATCCAGAACATGCTTCTTACATTACACATTTTGCCTATTGCTTATTTTTGTGTTGTATCGTATCCTGTTTTACAACGTAGCTCTTACGTTTACAGGAGTATGTTTTCTGGAAATTGTCAACACTAGCACAGCTATGAGTCCTACTGTCTCTAATACTGTTCATATTAGGTCCAAATCCCACAGCACTGAAGAATTGTTGACTGGCTTTACCAGTAGTTTAGAAGAGTGTAGACAGAAAGAAAGGAGAAGTTGAAACGGGCAAGGCCCGAATTAAAATCTGGGGTTGGGTTTTAGTGTAGTTACATAGTATGTTGCAATGACTTCAGTCTTGAACTGCTAGGGGGACCACATTTATCTAGAAGCTTCCAAACATTTAAAAAAAGTAAATAAAGTGTTGCTAGGACTCCATGGTAAGATTAATTCATTTTGGGAAGTTGGGTGAAAAAATTGTATTTTTAATGGCAACAATTCCCTGCTGTATCGATTTGAAGCACTTTGTGTGTGGATCTGCCAGATGAAACATCAGGAGAGTTTATATCAGTTATACAAGAAAATTGATTTGTTGCTTTTTCACAACACGGTGCTGGAGCTGGGCAGCCCATCAGCAGCCAAGTCACATCTGATGGCTGATGAAAGGTGTAACCTCACAGTTCTGCCTGGTAAACGTGTCCCCTGAAGCAAGGCAGCTCTACAGGCTTCCTGCACCCAGCAGGGCTCTGGTTTGTGCAGAAAGGCCCTCACCCTGCCAAGCAGGAAATAATTTTTTCTAAGAATCAGAGGACAAAATTGACATTCAAAATGGAAGGAAAAAAAAAAAAAAGGAACTGCTGCAGCCAGGGAAGCTGCAGGTTGGGACTTTTAATTTCTGTGAGTTCAGAGGGAGCCTGAAAATGAAGTTAGTATTTCAGATTTTGCTGCACAACAGCAGTGCTTTAATCAAGGCCTTTTTAGCCTTGTCTTTGCATGTCTGAAGATTAGGCTCCTCAGGCAGAATTTAAGCAGTTCTGCATTAGCCAGAGGAGTCGCTACGGTTACCTCATTGGGCCTCCCACGTAGCTGCTGCTATATATAATGCTTGGCTTGTGAGCTGTTGCTGTCTACGTGTGTCTCAGCAATTTTATTCACTTTTGTATCCAAATTAGGGGTTTGGGGTGGTGATTGGTTGATATCAAGATGCCTGAGAGAATGTGGGAAATACTGGGTTTTTTCCATTTGTTTTTGAAATTGTCTTCAGGAAGTACAAATCTGGAGAGTTTTAGAAAGAATAAATCTGTATAACAGTAAATTAAATTACTGTAACATAAAATCTTACTAGCTTAACTTCACAGTGTCATTTTTAGTAAGAGTTGGAATAAAAAATTAGAATATTGCTATCCCTCAAAAAGGGGGAAAAAAATAAAATTCCAACTTTTAGCTCTTGGCTGCTTCTTGTCTTTTCTTCCTTGGCTAAGGACAGAGCAGAGGCCATCAGCGTCCTGCAGCAAAGTATTGGTACCATGGTGTATTTGAAAATTCTTCAGAGAATGGGTGTCAGCCATTCCTCTGCTTTTATGAACACATCCAAGATGTCTCTTCTGCAAAGAAGACTTTTTATGTGCATGCCTTCATGAAAGCTTTATGGTTTATTTCACTCTGCACAGGAAAATCCCATTTTACCTCCCAGAAGAGTTAGAAATCAAACAAACATTTTATTTCCCCCCAGGTATATCCCAAGTAGAAGTAGCCATGCCATAAATAAACCTTTGAGCTTCCTGTAAGACTGTTGTTCTCTGTGCAGTTAATAAAACGTGGTTAGGGTAGTTAAAATACAACAAAATCCATTGTAGAACAAACACC